ATAAGTGGTGTAAGGATGCATTTCCCTTATACTTTAAGTGTGATATTTTGATGAACAATCTTAGTGAATCATTTAATGCAACTATTTTGATGCAAAGAGATAAACCTATTATAATCATGTTTAAGTGGATTAGGAACTATCTTATGGGTAGGTTTACCACACTTAGGGACAAAGTAGAAAATTACAAAGGGGGTATCATGTCTAAACCATTTAGGAGGTTAGATAGGGAGATAGAAAAAAGTGCAAATTGGTTGCCAACATATGCAGGTAGATTAACATTTCAAGTAACATGTGTCATGTTCATATATAGTTTTGTTGTAGACTTGGAAAAACGTACTTGTTCATATAAATTTTGGGATTTGGTTGGAATCCCATGTAGACATGTTGGTGCTGCCATACATAGGAAAGTTGATGATCCCATTAAGTATGTACACAAGTGTTATCATAGTACTGCTTATATATCATGTTACAATGAAGTTATCACTCCCATAAACGGTAAAAATAAATGGCCAAGGATTGTTGATCCTGAAATCTTGCCCCCAAGTTCAAGAGAGATCTGGGGAGACCAAAGAAACTCTGTAGAAGAGAGCTAGATGAGGCATCCAAAACAAGATAGAAAAGGAAAAACACAAGCCATGTGTGCAAGACATGATTGGAATATGGGCATAATACAAAAACATGTAAGAAAAATAAATAACTTGCAGTTGTTCCTGGTGAATTTCCAAGAAATGTTGAAACACCCACTCAAGGAAGCCAAACTCCAACTGTGGAGACAGGACCAAAGAAGAGGGTTAGTAACACTTATTAGCAACACAGTTCAATTTTTACTTTCAGTTATTATTGTCAATGACTTGTTTCAAATTGCATTGGTTGCAGGGTATGCCAAAAGGGATTACCAAAAAGGGAGGCCTAAGTAAAAAGACAAATACTTTTGCTCTAGCTACTGCACATCATGCTCAATCTAAGGTGAGTCATACTCAACCTAAAGTGACCCCTACTCAACCTGAGGTGACTCCTTTTCAACCTAAGGTGAATCCTTCTCAACTTGAGGTGACTCATACTCAACCTAAGGTGAATCCTACAACATTGTCTTTTGTAAGTTCTATTGAGGCAATGAAAATGCATTGTGAGATAGATCCTGATGAATTGGCAACATTGTTGAATGATGATGACATACTAGACATTGAACCACTTAATGTTGATACTAGTCATGCAAAACCATATGTCCATGCCAAACAAACTGTCAATGTTAACCCAAATAAGCCTATTGTTAGAAATTTCTTTAGTCCAAGACCAAAAGTGCATAAGCCTGCTGTCAGAACCTTCATTGGTCCAAGACTGAAATTGCTTAAGCATATTATCAAACCAATGCCAATTGAAACCAACAAGGAAAAAGGCCAAGCATTTATATACAAGTCAAGTATGAGTGATCTTGTAAGTTAGCAACTTATACTAACTAAACTTGTTTGGTGTTTTATGTTTATTAGTTTGGTAACATTATGATGTCATAACAGGTGAAAATAATGATATCACCAAGGAAAAAGGTCAAGAATGTTGCAATTCCAAAAATACGGAGTGATATACTTAGGACTCTAAAGATACGTGATATTTTGGAACCTATGAGGGATGCAGATGACCCATTTGTCAATCCTGCGGAAGACACAAGTGTTGGTAGTGCTAGGGGAAGAAGACTTTGGATGACATCCAGAAGAGCACGACTTGGTGAATTGAGGAGTAAAATATGTTATTTTTTTGAAACTTATGTAATATGAAACTTTAGTACTCTTTTGATTAGCATTATGCATTATGTAATATGAAACTTCAGTACTCTTTTGATGTACTATTTTGTTTGGAACATCGACCTTATGTATTGAATTCACTTATGAAATTTGTAGTTTGGAACATCAATCTTGCCAATTATTGTCATCAATGTATTGTATTATGTCATCAATCTTGCCAATTATAGTCAAGTTACAACTTTTTTATGCCAAATTTTACAAAATATATCAACATTTTCACATTATGTACACCACACTATTTCAACATCTTTCATTAATAATACAAACCCAAAGTACATCACATTCAACAAACTCTTAATTAACATTGCAAATTCAGTATATTACAAACTCTTCATTAACATTGCAAATTCAAACAACACACATCAAATTCAACAACTACATTTCAAAATAAAATACACATTAATTATAAAAGACATTGCAAAACACAACATCTTCAATTTTTCATGAAATTTCACTGTTTTCAACTTGGTGTTCAAATTCTTGTTCTTCTTCCTTGATTCTTCATACAAGGTCTTCATATATCCCATAGATGTCATAACTTCCAAGTTTGGGTTCATAATGGTTCCATCTTTATTTCGAGATTTTTCTCCAAGGTCTTCATCCCATATGAACAAATTATACGTGTCAGCACTTCTTCAATAAGGACATCTCCAAAACAACCTTATTTTATTTAGTCCATTCTTGTATTGATACGAGACCATACGAACTTGACACCCACAAAATTTCTTAACTCGCAATTTTACCGAAGCAGAAGATATTAGGTTATGTAACAAGATGAATGAAGATGAAAAACAAGGAGGTTGTGATGTAGTTGGACGAAGATGGACAAGGAAGACGCTGGAAGAAGATGATGAACAAAGAGGAATGAGATTGTGAGGAAGAGTGATTTAGGTCAAAATAATAAAACACTCGACTTTAAATTGTGTCATTTTATACGTCGTATTTCATGAAAATAAAAAAATATTTAATCCACCTGTCTTGCCACATAAGCAACCGTTAGTGGTATTTGAATTTAGAGACAAATTGTTTAGACGAAAAATTTTAAAGAGCAGATTTTTTAAAAGAAATTTTTAAAATGACTAAAAACAAAATCTGCAACATTTATTGGGACCAAAAACTTATTTAGCTTAAAATAAATGTCATTTTTTTGAAGTTAATATTTTTCTTCAATAATGTCCATTAACTATTGCTATTACATTATTCTCAATACTATATTCTAATTTACATCCGAAAAACTCACAAATTATTAACCTTAAAGTATGATGTTTCTTTTCAACAATTTTATATAATATTTTAGGGGTAAATATATTTTAAATCATTCTAATTATATCAACTTTTATATTCTAATTACTAGAAAATTCCCTTCGTACTTTAATCTCATCACTTTTTATACCAATTTTAGTCTTTGTTCTTTTACAAAAGTTCATATCATCCGCTCCAAGTGATTTTTTAGAACGACATAAGGTTCAAGACTTTAACCTAATATTTTACCTATTTAATATTCCGCAAATTTTTCTTTTTATCCCTTAACTTTAATCTTAAATTCAGATTGATCTCTTAATTAATTTTTGTGTCAGTTTTTTAATTTTTTTCATCACTAACTAGACAAAAATGACTAATATGACACTACACTTCACATTTTCAAATTCATTAAATGTACTGATGTGTATTATATAATAGGTAAAATGTCTCTTATAAAAAGGACAGGAGGTAATATTTAATTTACAATTTAATCTTTAATTAAAAATTATAGATAAATTAATAAATAAAATTGATATATTTAAAGGAATAAAAACGTGTTTAGTCTATTTATTTAATACGAAGCAAAAATCTTAAACATGTTGAGGTGTACATGTGTCATATTATGTTGATAGTTTAGAGCAACTTTAACGCAGGGTTGTTAAACCAAAATTCCTTATAGTTTACGTTAGTAATAAGGAATTTGTATTATAGTAGAGATGACATGGCATCCAAATGAACTAAAATTTAGTTCCCATTATCTATATAGTTAACGTTAACTATTCTTGTGAAACCTATTATAATATTATTTAATATTAATAAAATATTCCAAATATTTTATTTTAAATAGTAACGGTCATATTACCATTTTTTACCTTCTATAAATTCTATAGAAACTTTAATTTTTTTCTATAAATTCTATAGAAACTTTAATTTTTTTTACATACAGTTTTACTTCTAAATTTTTTTCTTTCAATTTTCAATTTTATTTATTTATCAAATAGATGACAACCAATCAAATCCTTATTATAATTATATTCTTATGAAAATGTAATTTTTATTATTATTATTGTTGTGAATTTTATATCATTTTTAATTTTATAATAAAATATATTTAATATTATTTTTAAGTTTTTAAGGTAAATTTTTTAAAAAAAAATATATGCATTTTAAATAAAATAATTAAATTAATGGTAACTTGAATAAAAAATATAAAATGTGGGATCAAGTCTTGGTTTCTTATAGACAACCACCATTAAAGTAAAAACTACTCAAATCAACTATAATTTTTTTAAATCCTACAAATCACTTTGGGCCCACAAAAAGTATCTTAGTTTACCCATTTAGTTTACTCCCACTAAAGATGCTCTTAGGGGAGGATTATGTGTTTAAACCATTTTGAAAAACATGGGACACAACTGCTTTTAGAGCCTAAAATAGAGCATTACCTTACTAATGAAGACTAAGAACATGTAACCAATAACATAAAGATAATCTCCATGATCATAAAACCCTTGAAATCCTATCTTATATTCAAACAAACAAGAGAAGTTATTCCTCAACTAAAATGGTCATAATCATAAAAATACTCTATTAAATTAAAGCATGTCTTGTATCAAAAAAAAAAATTAAAGCATATCCATCATGAAAGAATTACAAAAACAAGGGACCTATATAATTGCAAAATCTCCGCCCCATTTTCAAACAAAAAAGGCTCTTACAAGGGACCTCCTATATAATTGCAAAATCTCTGCCCCATTTTCAAACAAAAAAGGCTCTTACCTTATCCCCAAATATGTGGTTGTTAGTAAATCTTGCAGAAAATACAACACTTCACAATTAACCCTAAAAACCAGAACTTGGGGGTGTTCCACAAGGGATCATCATCAAAACCCAAAGATAGTATACTAAAGGTATATAACTATTTTTGGGGTGCTACATTCCAGAACAAGGTTAACAACTTTACTCTGCGTTGTCACCAGATCTACGATATGGCATGAGTTTATGGTCCTTGGCAGCATTCCTCTTCCTCTTTTTCTCAATATATGAATCAAGTTTTCCAGACGTCTGAAAATGGTGAATGGATAGAATTAATGGAATATACAAGCAATAAATGACACTGTACAATGAAAACAAGGTGAATGGGGACAGAGAGATGTTCTAAGATGCATACCTTGAGATCCTCATATTTTTCAATAAGCCTTTGTTTTCGGATTTCAGCTGAAAAACAAAACAATATGTCATTATATATAGTTCACATTTCATTTTATTTTAACTCGTTTGTTTGATATGTTTTTAAATGCATTTGTCTGATAAACTTATATTTTCGGTTCAGCAAAGAACTTCTCTGTAGAGTTCAGATAAAGATAATAAAATTAACATATGCAGGGATTGTGTTTCTAACATATGGAAAGTGGAGAAAGAAGAGATAGAATGGTGTGCAAAGAAAAGAAAAATTACATTTCTTGAGATAGAAAGGTCGTTTTCCCTGCTTTGCGGCTTCTCTTTCTTTCTTCTTGTGTTTAGCTAAAATACTTGTCTCAACATTTCTTGTTGAATCAGATTTCAACTGTTTATCCTGAAAAGACATGCAAATGTGATCAAGTAAATTAATGATTGTTACACTTTTGGACGGTGAAACAAAACCTCCAACAGACATGTATACTTACAACCCATGATATGCGTTCTACTATTTCACTTTTCCGCTCAGGATCTTTGAGTTTTTTCATTTCCCTTTTAAGAGCCTGTTACACCCATAAGATGTCATGGGAGGAAAGTTATAAAAATAAGTCATACACAATACTGCGGTTACAATCTGCAAGTTTACCTGTTTTTCCGCAGGAAGATCCTTTTCATATAAGAAATTATATCTCTTTCTAAACCTGCAAGTCCAAACACACATAATATTAGTAATTGCTACACAGTTCATATGCTGAAAAACAAGAGAAGCTTCCAGATTTAGTTAAACCACCCAGTTGCTCAAAATAAAATAGCAACATAAAAAACACTTGCATTAAATTGTTCAGCAGAACAATCCATAAATAACTAAACAAAACCTACTAAACAGCCAATGAACCTATGAGCCGGGTTAGAACTATCAATCGTATAATTGAATACTAATTTCCAAGCAAACGGTACATACGCAAAGGTCACGGCATTGTAAAAAAAAAATTATAAGGAACTAACTAGTAATACCCAAAAAGGAGATACCAAATGCCACTCCCAAATGCCAATCAATAAGTTGATTCCTTCGTGACAGGGACAAAAAAGCTCTTAAATAAAAATAGTCAGGAAAGCTACTGGGCGAGACATGCTCTAAATGGGAAAACAATCAGAAGGATATACTCCAGTATGAAAATGCTTAAAATTAAGACGATGATTGTAAGAGCGTGTAAATTTATCAATAACTTGATGCTTCTTTGTGATTCACTAAAATAAATATCAACATAAAGATCCTTCAATACTATCTAACAAATTCTAGCGCAAAGTAAAGAGTAATACATTGAGCCAGAATTTGATGTTTTTTAATAGAAAGGTATTAGCATATTTTACAGATTTAATTTCTGTTCTTCTGTCCACAACTTCAACATTCTCACTAAGTTGACTACTCCAAGTCAGTGATAACTAGCTCTTAGTTAGAACAAAAACAGTGAAATAACATCACTTAGTTAGGCATGCTCTAAAATGGAAAACATGACAAAAATCAGTATGACTTTACGCTGGTATGAAAATGCTTAAACTCTTCATCATGATTGCAATTGAAATAATTGCATTTCTAAACTAAAATGAACAAAACAAGAAAAAGGTAAAACAAAAAGCACACATCCAGATGTGAACATACCCATCAGGATCAAGTGTACCACAAAGAGATTCAAATCGTGGGTCGCGTACAACCTGAAAATTCATGAAGGCATGCATAGTTCAGCAAAAATCATCCAGATTTATCAAACAGAAAGATCATATACATATACATGCTCATTTTCAAATTCAACCCCAATTCCACATCATATAGAACAACCCTTAAAATTTGAATATTTCAAAGTATTCATACACTAATAGTGGACCTAAAGTATTGCCCTTGAAAAAAGAAACTATGCATGCTAATGGCATTCATAAATAATGATTTTGAAATTTTAAACAATTCAATACAATGTGTCAATGAGCAACACAATATAGCAGCAGATATCAATAGATTCTACACAAATAACATACAGTCCCACCTTCTTAGGGGCTTGGATGACATCTCTAAAGGCAGGAACTGGCTTTTTGCTACTAGCTTCCATTGGCCTAGTCAAGCATTAGAAATTATTATTTGCACACAAGGATTAGAATAGAAGAAAAACAACTCTGTCAAATAAATACTCCTTTTGTCTCATTATAAGTGCCTTCTTTCCAATTTTTATGTTTCAAATTAATGGTCAGTTTAGCACATCAATAAAACATTAATTTTTTTAAACTAATATACCCTTATTTTGCATTTCAACACACTTAACTACTCCACCAACTGGCAAATGAAACTCGTTCTATCATTGAAATCAATACAACTAATCATTTTCTTAAGGCTATGTTTGGATTGATGAACTAGAACGGAGCGGAGCGGAATGGAACATGATGGAATGGAGTGGAGTGAGGCGGAACAGAACATAGATTTCATTCTATTGTTTGTGTATTTTTCATAATTTGATAGAATGGAACAAAACAAATTGGTTCATCCCATTGCATACCCCAAAATTGGGGGAATAAAAATTGAAAGATTGGATGGAATAGGATGAATGGATTCCATCATGTTCCATTCCGCTACGACCATTATTTGCAAGCCCAAAGAATGGAATCTGATTATATACGACTTCATTCCATCAGATTCCACCAATCTATACATAGCCTAAGAACCGAGCACAGTTCAAATACGACACTTATAATGAAACCTATATCTACTAAGTTACAAATACAACACCTATTCTTATTTGCCCTTTTTAACTTCTTGTCTTCTCCGCGTTTCTTAAAAACCGCATGTGCCCCATTTGATCGAGCTTTCTGCAACTCCTCAAAAGTTACATCAGCAAGCACCTTCTCTATCTCTTCCTCTTCATCCTACAATTACCAAAATCAATAACAATACAAATTTACTATGACCTAGGTTTACTTTTTTTTATAAATAAAATAAATAACTTATGATTTGAAGTTACCCACATCTTCTGATGAACTAGAATAAGATAGTGACTCATCAGTCTCACTCTCCTCGTAAGTTTCAGTGGAATTAGGGATTCTACTTCCATGCTTCTTCATTATGAGAAATATATCAAATTGATTTTGAACCTAAGAAAACAATGCGTTGAGAACTCAAATACAGTGGCACAGAAAAAGCGTAATTCATGTATGAAACATAGTGCGTATCATAAACAACCATAGTTGAATGAAACTAACCTTTTTTGATAAATACAATAACGTTACTCTTATGCAAATAGAGAAAGATGGAATGAAATACAAAACAGGGTTTGGAAAAGTAAAACAACTAAGCGTTTGAATAGAGAAAGATACTTACCGGAATAGACTCGCGCAGGGGAAGGAGGCGGCTGGGAGCGATCGGTGACAGGGGTTCACTGGTAGAGAAAAAATCACCGTGGACGCAACTTGCTGCGGCTGGCCTGGGCTATAGCGGGCTTATAGAGTTGGGTTGGGATTGGCCCTATTGGAATTGAAAAAAAAAAAAAAAAAAATTTGAAGGAGGTTATTATGTTTTAGGAATTGTCTAAGAGCATCTTTAGTGGGAGTAAACTAAATGGGTAAATTAAGATACTTTTTGTGGGTCTAAAGTGATTTGTAGGATTTAAAAAATTTATAGTTGATTTGAGTAGTTTTTACTTTAATGGTGGTTGTCTATAAGAAACCAAGACTTGATCCCACATTTTATATTTTTTATTCAAGTTACCATTAATTTAATTATTTTATTTAAAATGCATATATTTTTTTAAAAAAAATTTACCTTAAAAACTTAAAAATAATATTAATTATATTTTATTATAAAATTAAAAATGATACAAAATTCGCAACAATAATAATAAAAAAAATTACATTTTCATAGGAATATAATTATAATAAGGATTTGATTGGTTGTCATCCATTCGATAAATAAATAAGATTGAAAATTGAAAGAAAAAAATTTAGAAGTAAAACTATATGTAAAAAAAATTAAAGTTTCTATAGAATTTATAGAAGGTAAAAAATGGTAATATGACCGTTACTATTTAAAATGAAATATTTGGAATATTTTATTAATATTAAATAATATTATAATAGGTTTCACAAGAATAGTTAACGTTAACTATATAGATAATGGGAACTAAATTTTAGTTCATTTGGATGTCATGTCATTATAGTAATAAGTAAACTATAATGAATTTTGGTTTAACAACCCTGCGTTAAAGTTGCTCTAAGGCATCTTAAGGATTGCTTCTTTACTATTGGGAAAAATTGAAACTATTTTTAAAATTTGGGAATGCATTTTTAGACATATTGTCCATTTGCTTTTCAGTCAAGTCTGAATACTTGATTGAATTTAATTTAAAAATGCATTTTCGTAGATTTTATGGAGGTGTATTTCTAGAATATGTTGAACCAGAAATAAACGCAAAAATGAAAAGATGCAAAAAGAAGATAAATTAATATTGATAACATAAAAAATAAAATACTATAGAGTTAATTATTAACATAAATCAAACATACATTTCAACATTCAAATGGTTGTTTTAACATGTTCATAATATATTCAGTTCAAAGCTGTTTAAATGAATATTCTCTTCGTTGTTAATGGAAAGTGAACGGTACTTGACCTTCATAATTTTTTGATTGTCGGAGTATTGTAAGAGGTACTCCAATATGAATTTTAGATCTATAAGAGGGTGTATTTATTGAACTTAAATTCAATTGAGAATTTCGCGTCGTTGAAGTAGACATATGCAACATACCAATTGGTGTTCATTATGGTGTAATGTGATTTTGTACAAAAATATGAGATATGAGACCTACTTTTATACAAGGTCTAAACCAATGTGGACCTTAAAAATTCTATCTTGTACGAGGAGAAATTCCAAAAAGATATTTTTGGAACCACCCAATCCTGAGTTTACAGAAATGCATTTCCACAACCAATCGCGGTTTGTGACAATTACTTTCAGTGTGTCTTCTTTGTCTTTCAAAATTTTCTGGCACACTTCTAAAGCCCAAGTAAGGTTTTGCTCTTTTTTTTTTCTTTCCAAAAATGCAAAGTCGGCTGAATAAATCTTCTCGATAGAGGTAACACTGACAATTTTCAATAGTGAAAGCCTGCATTTGTTGGTCTTATACGTTGAATTAATGATGACCACATTAATAAACTTGTTAAACAACTTTATGGAATCAAGGTGAGTCCAAAATTATATCTCGAATTATTACTCCATATTTTCACGCTCGGTACCTAGATACATAATTATTATCATCCAGAAGTTTCAACAATTGTTGCATTTCAGTTATACCCCCCCCCCCCCTAACGCCTAGTTGTTAAAGATACGAATGTTGTACACACTTGCTTGATGTTTGAGATATTTTTGGGTCTTTTATGTGTCAAGTTTCAAGTATGTTTTTGGGATGCATTATATTCAATGTCATGTCCGAAACGATTTCCTTCTCTTTTAACATAAGGCGACATGCAATGGGATTGCCGACTAAGTTGTCACACATGTCATGGTTATGTAAACCATAAATCACATTAAATCTATATTTGTTTTTTGCAAAAAGATAATCACACAACTTAAAAGGACACTCATTTTTTCTCGAACCGGTGTCATTTGAAAAGGGAATGATTTTTTTGTAAGGGTTTTGTGACAAAATGGTAACAATGTTTGATCATGATGAAGTAGAGCATGTAGTATTCTATTTTATGAAAAACCATATTTGAGATTTCCCGAAATGTATATTGGAAATTGAATGACATGTAAAGGTGGCAGTTTTTAAATTCCTGTTTCACAACTCCGGAAATACACTTTTGAAATTGTCACTGAGATGTTAAATTTGAAATAAACTAATAGGGTGAGTTAGAAGATGCATCTCCAAACTAAATTTTGAAACTACACTTTTGAAGTTGTCAATGAGATGTTAAAGTTTTGGTAAACTTTTAGAATTAATAAAAAAATTCTTTAGATTTTAGAATTTGGATTGTGTTTTTGAGACCTCCAAATTTTAGAATATGAAATAGTTAAATTCATGAATAAACACGATGAATAGGAACTTTCCATTAAATCATATGAAACTCAATAACTTGTTTCATGTTATATACCAATAAAAGTTGTGAATAATTAAAAAGACCAATTAAATACAAACAATATCATAGATCTGAAAAATTAATATGCACGTCGTGATTTTATCAAACATCCTTGGATGAATCAGATTTGAACAAATAGCATTAACATGTCTGATTAGGGTAGCGTATAATTGAATAGGTCCTAAGGAACAATGCTGACAAGATAGTAAAAAATGATTCTCACATCTTCGTCATTTTGTAGATGCATATTAGTGATGCAAACATGTTTATCATCATTGAATGATGAACGACAATAATCAACCCTGGTCACTCTTCTTGTGTTGCGGTGGTTGAGACATCGATTCGTTTCATCTAATTGGTGTTTCATATCAAAAAGTGTAACATCAACATTGATTCTAAATAGACGGGGATGAGTCATCTTGTTATAGTAAACTCCATCAAGGTTAGAGTTTAGTATAGGTAAGAAGAGTTAATTTCTTTTCTAATTTAAAAGGCAAATGAGCTAAACACATCATTTTATACATTTATTATGCATTATAGTCCACATAAAGTGTCAGTGCAATCTAGTACATGCAATAGAATCAAATGATACGTTAAGGATTATAAAATCCACACAATTTCAAGGGTTCAAATTGTAGAATCCAGACGCATGTCAAAAAAACCTCAACATGAGTCAAAATTATAAAAGTCAGACTATGCCAAAAACTCTTATGATTAAGTCCGAGTTATAAAATCTGAAATCACGTGTTATAGTATCAAAGTTCATTTATTTGATAAAACACTTATAAAATACATCATCATAAATGATAACAAAACTTTAAAAAATGAAACAAAAATATATATAAAATCATATATAATGTAACATGTCAAGTTGGATACATGATAATTTTGTACTTAAAATACAACCAAATCCAAATGAAACATAACAAAAATACAAAATGCATATGGTAGGTCACGTGATAACTGTTGACGTTCATATTCATCCTATTTATCAGTTATGCAACGTTGGCTTCCCCCAAAATCCCTTGGACAACAGTGTCATTATTTGATTCTTTCAATATATTTCCATAATAGAGTGCCATAATAGCCATAACTCGGGTGTGCGAGCATGCTCGGGTCAAACTACATGCATTGTCATTCTCATCTTGAAGGTTGTTGTCCTTTTGGTATAGGAATTAAGTATGAATATGATTACTTTAAATACCACTTCATGTAGTCCTATACAAGTTTTTGACACACCTCTGATCAATTTGGGATAAATTGATAATATATGAAGCAAAGTCGACAAGAGGTCTAGGAATATCCTGCTTGTACCTGAACTAGCGTGATATTCACTCCTGCAGGTAGCAGACCTTAGAGGATCCACATATGATCCAATTAGAAAATAAGCATATGTCATTCATCGGGTGTGTGACTTTCCAAGGGTGTAGCTTTCTAACACCACATCATGTGGTAGTAGATAAATGATATTGATTCATTACATAACTTTTAGTGAGTGTTACATTATTTTTAATTCCTTTTTCTACAAATAGTTTGTGTTATGTGGCATTTTAATCAAAATTCAAAGCATTTTCCAAAAGCTCAGTTTGATTTAAAATCACTTTAACCAAACAAATGTGTTGGTGTTTTTGTGATGGAAGTTAGAGTGATAAGAAGTGTAGTGATACTTTGACACAAAATTGGAAGAAAATAATAACTTTGAAGAAATCAGCAGAACTTCCTTAAGTTTCATGAAGTCGATATCCTTGTGTGCTAATGGACATATTGCATCGAACCAAGCACACCAATGTGGCATTATGGTATTTATATAAGAGACACGTCAATAAAAAATTAGGGAATACATTGCACCTGATGCGTGGTGCAATACATTTATGCAATCTCGAGATCTTTTCTATTAATAGGAAATCATGGTTAGTTTTTGGGGTCCGAATTTTCACTAAAGAATGACTGCTTTGGAGTGTTATGGGTTAAAGGTTTATAATCCATCATG